TATTATTACAAATAGGCGGCTAAGCACTGCCCTTTTGTGCTGTCATGTCCGTAGGGCGTGATAGTTCCACACCTCTCGCTATTTGTAGTAGATTTCTTTCCCTTAAAATCTTTCGTGTCTTTGGATTCAGAGTTAAAAGTAAATTAAATAATATTATTATTGAATAAATTTTAGTTAGATTGCTTGGAAAACAATCATACATCTACAATTTTATAGTATAAAATTGTAAAATCTAGTAAAAGAAATTTCCATTAATGCGTGGAAGTCATGTATATATTTTTAGTCAAATAATATAAACTATTAGAAACAATCTTAACTAAAAACTAGATTTGATTTTCAACTTGTTCAATTTCAACCTCCACTTATTTTATTACTTAATACTAATTAAAAACTTTTGAATAGATACTTATATAACATTATTGTTAAATATATGTGAAATAAACATGGTTAAATTTTCAATTCATCATTATTGGTTTTATTAATTATCACACATAGTAAGAAAAAATGATATATTTTAAGAAATCAAATTTTGTTATTAGTGATAAAGCACTTTTATATATAATACAATAGCCAAATTAATAACAATAACTATAAGCTATAGAAAGAAACTTTATTTGTACTCAAACTTTAATATTTGCATACATATAACTACTTAATAACAAATTAGTGTCAACTATATAACTTTTTCTCAATTAGGTAAATTAAATAAGTGTTTATTGACAAACCTAACAATTACATGTTGACTTAAGTTAGGTAACTGTTAGGAAATTATTAAATAAATCTAGACTATTACATTATTCACCCCTTTAAACAAAAAAAAATGTATAGTTAATATGGCATTTGACCATTGAAATTTAAATACCATACACTTCTTACCGTTACTAAAATTCTTCTCTCTTGAAAAGTATTGTTGAATTATTCAATTTAGTAAAGAACATTTAATCAGATATTTATGGCTTAATTTTTGAAATGGATATATATTTTGAGTGGTTCACAAACTACTGTATTTATAATAAGAGATATTTCTAGTGGTTTACAAAGTAATGTTGTACCTTTAGATGATTTTGAAACATTGAATAATGGAGTCTTGAACAGACAAGTTAAGGAATTTTGGGTCCGGGTAAAGCAGCCTCAGTAAAAGTGTTATGCAGTAAACCATTTAAGTGAAAAATGATTTGATAAGCCACGAGTATTTGGGAAATTAAGGACAATTACGGTTGGATTAAACTCAGGGACCAAATTTCTACAAGTGGGAGAGAACATAACAACTTGAATTCTCTGTATGATAAAGTAAATTGGAAAACTACCGTAATAGGCTCAAAAAATAAAATAAGTGAAAAGCGGAAATAAAAGAATTACGTTGATGATTTCTTAGAGTCAATTAATTCAAATTTCACCTTTAGCCTACTAAATTGAAAGGATTGTTATGCATACCAAATTGTAAGAACGAGAAAGTAAAAACTAAAATAATGAAAGGAAGAATAATGTAATTGTAAGAGTAAAAATGTAATTGTATGAAATAATAATGTGATTGAATGAAAGAAGATGAAATTGCAGCAAGAGGAAAGTAATAAAATATTGAAGGGGATTGACAAGTTTATTGATAATTTGATTGATTAGGAGGTTGTGAGAAGTTATGCCATCACGTCAAAGGGAAGCTTTGTTAATTGGCCAGCAATGAGTTCAATATGGCAGACCAAAATAAAAACTCTACTCCAAGTGATGTGGGGATCAGATTTAATGGGATTTCCTTTCGTTTCATCAATAATTTGATTATATAAAAACTAGAAGATAATCCTTTTTTTTTTATTGCTTTCTTCTGGCACTAAGATAGGAGGATAATTACACGTTTTGTCTTAAAAGCTATAATGTTTTTTTTTTTGGATTATTATTAGGACCACAAGCATATGCCAAAACTATAGTTGTACTACAAATTGGATTGCTAGTAATTCAATTATAATTTGTACATATAGAAGGCATACGCCTTTTTAGACCTTAATTATTCTTTTAAATCTCATATCACGAAAAGTCTTCTATCAAACAAATTAAATACTTGTTATGATATATTGGTAATAGATGAATAAAGAAAAAATCTTCAAAAAAAAAAAAGTTTAAATTTTTTGTTCAGCAATTGAAATTTATGGTTGCCGAATTGTAGCACTACGGCCTGGCAACGGAGATCGGGTCCCGACTCTAATCCTAGAAGCCGAACCGCCTGCCCCGTACACAGAAAGCTGACGGCTCATTATGATAGTTACTAGTAGCCGCGTGTAGCATGACGGCCTAGCACGTGACCACGGTTGGCGCTACGACTGCCATGGTATTGGTTAAGAATAATAATATATACATATAGACTTGTAAAAATATGGTTCTCAATTTTTGCAATTCAATATAATTGCAAACTTTGTTAATCTTTGACAATTAATAATAATAAATAAATATATATATATATATATTGTCCTTGGGCACATCAGCCTGTGTTAGCTGCAGTTGGTCATTGGCACATCAACGAAGTTAAACATTAAAAGTTAATAGGAGTCTATAATTTTCAATTTGATTATACAACTCGGCTGTGAGTTATTATGATTATGCCAACCCTCACATTTATATTCCTGGAGTGGCATGCTGAACAATAAAATGGAGGCGTTGACTTGTTATATATACAATAGTCCTTCAACTTCTTCAGGTCCAGCAAAATAATTTAACACTGCTCAAGGTAAGCACTACGTGATTACATCTCCATTCATTGTTCAACTGCATCAGCAACCGTAGAACTAGAACAAGGTTTAGAGATTAGAGGCCCCATGTTGCAACACTTTCAGTCATGAGCTTTTTGCACTATCTGAAATGAATGTCAGAAGGTTGAATTCGCGATCCAGGCTCCATGAAGACTCGTTCTTGTTGTTGATACTGAAGGTATATTCCTGAAAGTACCCGTTGTATGTTATTAAGGATACAACGGCCCTAGTAAAAGCAATGCGGGAAATAATGTGAGTAGATAGATAGGAAGATACGATAAAAATAAGCAGACGGTAAGTCCTAAAACAATGTTCATTGATGCAACTTCGACACATGCTGGCATGACTGCAGCAGCAATGTCCAATCTATAGATAAAACATAAGCACAGCAAAGGAACTAATAAAATAAGTTGAGACATGATTTCAAAATAAAAATTAAAAGCTAACACAAGTAGTACCTGAATGCAAGAACTACTATATTCCACATAGAGTGATCCCAGAAGACCTAAGACCTTCATTAGTCATTACTAAATGCTCAAACTATAGTCATTCTAAGCAGCATTCATTGACTCAGCGCATAACCAAAGTTTAATTACTATGGACATCCAAAGGTCTGCCTTTGGACTGGCAACATTTCTGTTCAGATAAGCTATATGCATGTGCTCATAATAGCAAATAAAACCACAATCATAACCTAATATTGATTTGTGGCTGGACTCCATATTATTTTACTGTTAATTACTCAATTGATTGCAACTCTACTTTCTTCCATCCAAATCCTGAAATTTACCATACCAATGCACTCTTAGCCTCCCTTAGAGGAATTTGTACCATCCTTTCTCAGTAGCATGATTATCAAAAATACTACTCCGGGAAACCATCTAAAATCATTATGAATCACACTAACCCTCAAACCACTTTGGTTGCATTAAAAACAAATGGCATGAGGCAGGAAACACAAGATGCAAGAAAAGTTAACCATGAACCTCTTGTTCCATGGTTCACACAGAAAGCACTTTTCAGGACAAGTGATCAAATGGTTCTGTTATGCTTAAATTCAGAAGAGACGTCATAACATAACATATATCTATATCATAACTCTATAGAATTCATAAAAAGTTTGTAACCTCAATTAATTCATCATCCCTGTATATAAAATGAGGAAAAAGAAAAGGTTATCTGCAGTATTAAATGGAAAGTAGAAGAGAACACAGGAAAATGAATGCAAAAAGACAGAGGAGAAGAGAATACAATTTGGAAGCTGAGACTCAACATCTGAAAACTAACCTACAAGATGAAAATTCGGATGAGGATGAATCAGGAATCTTGTCTACCTTGCGAACCACTGCATAGCTGGATTAGAGCAAAGCACCTTTAGCACATCTACTCAAAATCATATTTCATCTGGCCATGTCAAACACAATTACATGTTGTCTATATCCATGAACCTATATTTTATGGATATATTCAAAAATAATAAGGCTCCGTTTGGTCAATGCTTTTGCTTGTATGTTTTTTGCTTCTTTTTTACAAGAAATGTATAGAAAGGAGAAAAGCGAAAAATAATTAATGAACAGAGAACAAAGACAAATGGTAAAAAGCATCAACCAAATGAAGCCTAAATAATATTGATAACTCTTGCTCAGATTAAGTTAATCAGGATATTGCTCTGTCAAGGAGTTGAACAGATCCTTGTGTACCATCGTAGTCTAGTTTTGCCCCATATAAATTTTAGTCTTTGATAACAAAATAAATGACTCATCTAGAACTAAAAAAGATCAAAGGGTCAATTTAATGAATTTCATCTTCTTTGGCAATTACCCAAGCATATTTGAGCATGGTTCTACAAGAAAGAACGGAAAAAGTAAATTAGTTTTAAACATGCACCCATGATCAGAATTTGAACAAATTCAAAAGTTACTTAGGCTAGTATGAATTATAGAGTTTGTCACCAGTTAAGCTGTTTTCTATTGTGCTGATGAGCTAATAAATTCAATAAATCAGTTATAAAGTGCTTTACCTTCTGACTCCTGCAGAAACAGCAGTGTGAAGCACATGATGGTCAGCTGGATCTAGTGCATCATTCACAGAATCAGGTAATATTGATCCAAGAAAACTACTTGATCTTTGGCACCTACTAAGAGTCAAAAGTTCGAGAAAGAAGGTCAATAAACTCCATAAAACCTTCATAGAATTTAGATTTATGGACTGAACAAATGCAGTGTAACAATAGACTGCCTAGAACTTATGTAAGAAATAGCTTCTGTTTGTTTGGAAAAATATGATGATATTTATGACCCTAAGGCTTCTGATGAGCACAGAGAGCTACCCTGAGGTTAGCAATATTACAATGGCCTCATTTCGGGTTACACCTAAACTATAACAGATACCATTCGTTATTCAAGCCTGTAAGGTGAAGTAAAATATTTGTTATGGCTCCCAAATATTCGGTAAACTAAAAATTTCCCTGAAGTATTGAGAAAGCACACAGAACCATTTCTTCATACAACATAGAGAAAACAAACACATTATTCAAGAGAAGAACACTATCTTCAAGTAGTTAAACAAGGGTGAAAATATCTTTCAAACCTATTAACCTCTATTTTGAGACGCACAACAGTATCGGATGGGAGATGTATGATAGTGCTACTTAAGTTCCAAGGGTCTCTGTGCAATTGTAAAAATTAGTTATACTAAAATGTTAAAATTACATATAAAAAGAGCAAAAGAACAAAAGGATTGAAACTGAAAAGCTAACAAGATTAACATTTTTCACAAACAAAGGGGAATCTGAAAATTAAGGACAAGGGATTTCCATCATGTGCAAAATGTTAGATGTTGAATAAAAGGGATAAAAACTGCACATAGTATATATACATTGTAGAAACAATATTTATTATATAACAGAATAACTGCTGTCGGTGCTAATAAAAGGTGAAAGAATCCTGGCATGTTTCAAATTTTTTGATAACATAGGTAGTTAGATTCTAAGCATATTCATGTCAAAAATATGTTCCAGTCTACACAAGAAAGAGAGTTTTATTCATAGCCCTCACCTCTGATTTGTAGCAAACCCCAGAGAGAAAATGTGAACAGAACCAGAAGAACTCATGGCTGCAAGGATATCTGGAAGTTGCAATGATGGTGCAAATGACAATGAAAATATAGTCGATGGGTATGTTCCCCTCCGGAAACTATATGACTGAGAAAATAAAGGATGGTTAGATTCCGTACGTGAAGTGTAAAATTTGGGTGGACATAAATACTGCATGCTGCTTGAAGGAATTCAGTTTATTACAAGTAGCAGGAAAGCTAGTAGGCATAAATCACTCATCATAAATAATAAAAAATGGCTACATGGCACTCCAGCAAGGGCTGTGCTATTTGATCAGTGGATTTAATAAAACAAGATAGACCACTAATTTGACCCCAGATCTACTAACAACTGATAGCAAGTTTGTGCTTTTACTCATAAAATTGCTAAAGATCTCTTTAAGTATACAATCAATTAAGATTGATCAATATGTTTTCTCCAACTGTTACAAACTAAGAAATGAGTAAGGATAATCTCTTCAAATGTATATACTCTGCATGAATGTGCCAATAAACAGGCACCAAACGAAGTTTTGGTTTGGCTCTTAATTCTTCATTCCAATCTTTTCTCATTTTTCTCCTTACTTTGACTGAAAACAATTCAAAAGGTTACATTAGCAAGTTTGTCTTTGCAATTCTGCAGCATAAGGACATCATGTGATGTCAAGGTTGCGTTCTATTTTTTGAGCAAACAAGTTATGAGTGTGCCTATAAAGCCTGCATTTGCTAATGCATGTACTACCAAAGACACTTCTTATTCAGGTCCAATCAAGTACATGATGCGCAATTCTTTACCTGAGTTGCTTCTGAAACCAGATGAACTCTGATTATCGTCCCCTGTTCAGATGCTGTTGCAATGTATGTCCCATTGGAAGATAGAGTAATTGCGGCCAAAGGAGACCGGTGCGCATCAATCTGCAATTAACTCAATAAATTCAAAATGAAAAAGAGATTAATGTAAAGGATTAAATAGCACAAAGAACAAACAACAGAATGAAAATCTCTTCTATACAGGGACAATCATATAAATGTCAAAGCAATATAATAAAATAGAGAAGTAGATATGAGCAAAAATGGTAATTCCCTGCTAAAAATAAGAATGACAGTAGCAATACCCAAACTAAAAACATTCAGCTCCAAAAATTATAGATTCCTCAGTCAGAGGAAGGTAAATACAAAGAAATCACTGATAAGGGAACATAACAATTAATAATAGAAGCCAAGGTGCTAGAGAAATTCCATCATTTGTTCATAATTTATGATGGCAGAACCGGCTGAATTTTTTATTCAAAAAAATGTTTTTCCATAATCTAAACACTTTGCACATGACAGTTATCACACCTAATGTTTTATAGAAAAATACCAAAAATGATATCACATTACATGCACCAGGTTTTTGAAGTTATTGTTATTGGGGATCATAAGCTGAAAAGAATGCATAATGCTATCTTGTGTATAAATATATTTATCAGAAAATGCAAATTGATATAAGGTTAACCCAAAATTCAAATAATGAAACATGGTGGCTAATCAAATGTAGCATAAATAGTCAACTGTGCTGACAGGCATATGTGAATCAGCTTAATTAGAGTTTCAAAAACTCGACTGCTTCCTCTATCACATTGGTGCAATTTCCGGCAGACAAGATATATTTAATCCAGTATGACAACAATGCATCCAGGAGTCCAGATTCATTAAACACATAATATTCAAATTAATCTGATGAGAAATTTTGCTGTCACAACCTCACAATGTGACTGGAGCTCCATGACATTGTACACTAATACAGATCCTTTGATCGTACTGGCAGGAAGAGCCAAGAAGCAACCATCCAAACTAGGGGAAAATGCACAAAGTCCTGAAGGATAGAAAATAACAAAAAACCCTCAGGAAATCAAATAACGAATGCTTCTTTCAGAAGTATTTAAATGACTCACAATGCCTTCTCAGTTGCCCCAACTGTACCATTTTCAATTTTATAATTAACTATCAACAATCACCCATCCAGATAGAGTACACAACTGTTACATTGACTAGCTGCTCCCTCTGCTCTTCAAAAGCACAAAGATGCATGCAGATTGATGATAGAAAATATGATACTCTAATATGCGATTGCATTTCTCCATCTTCTTATTTAAGAACATTCTATAACCCCTTTCTTATTTCAACATGTCAGAAGTATTTATAAGAAATTTGATTCATTAACCGAAAGGAGATCCAAAATATAATAAGTGAATAATTTTGAAGGACTGAAAATAACCTGGCTACAATTGAACTTTTGCTTATCTCAGAGTGATAGTCATGCTCATCTTGCAACAAGTTGCTGCATTAAGAAACAATTCAGACCTAAATCTTATCCAACATAACTCTCCCCAAAGCAGTTCAGCAAACAGAAAGCAGAAAAGAAATCAGACTTAGCCAGGAACATAATGCTTTGCTTGTTTAGGAGGATGGAAATTTTTCATTCAACTGGCCAAATTTCACAACCTCCTTCCTGTTTTATATAGCATCACCATTGAATTCAAAACTTTTCCATCCTCCCTACCACGTGAAGCAAATAAATCAGACACATTCATTACAAAACCTTAAGGATGTTTAAATTTAGCACCAAAGATACAAACCACCTTTAAGTAGCAATATATTTAGGTTACCAAGTGAATGACAATTGCAACATGGAATCATGTTTAGCAAAGCAACACACTCCATAATGGCCTATGACATATCTTATAACTACTGTTTGGTAAACTTACCTCCAGAGACCAGTAAGCACCAAAAGAATTCCGTGCAGAAGTTAGTGTGCAAGGGGATCTTTAATTCAAATTATACACACCCTCAACAGAACGTCCTAAAACTTGAGTCACAATTGGATTTTAAACAAAAATGGAATTACCCTCTTTGGTTTGCATAGCATAGTGCAATTTCATCATATGGAATGCAGATCACTCTGAAATGGCAGAAATTTGAAACTTGTTTGGATGGACCTATTCAATGGTCAAAAGAGCCCCCTCTCACTCCAAAATTGTGGATATCTCCAACTAAGAAAAATCTTATTAATCAGCTTTCCATTTGTCTACTCTATATTTAAGCCATCAAATGGATATCAACTTCTCAAAAGTATTTAAGGATGAATGAGAAACCATGCAAAAGGTATTAGAATTTCTAAACTATATAAGAAGCTGTCTTTCTTTAAGAAAACTATTGCTTCAGTTCCTCATCCTTTCCAAATGCCATCTCTTAATCATTTAAGAGGATCTAAAATAAAACATGGTCTTAGAAGTACTACTTCAAGTCACATAAGCACCCATACAAATACTAGGATCAAGCAGTTTTCAAAGTTATTGTAAGAGAAGTGGTGTAACTAAATATGTCCCACTTGAAAGATTGCAAAAGCCACCTTAAGCACACAACAAACACATTCTACCTTACCCTTTAAATTTGGCACAGTGTCAACAGTATCCAATATTGCAAGACTGTTTGAGTCATATATGTAGGTTTTTTCTTGCAAAACCACAACAAGTCTGCAATTATACAAATTGAGTATTATTAAAAACAGGAAATAATCTTCTTCAAAAAAAAAATAATAATAATCATATCCAATAGACTTGTGTAGATTTAATATGATGCCTGAGTCTAATGTACGAACCACAGTGCAATTTAGTGTGACTAACAGAAGTCGAAATGGAAATCAAATCACAGTAATAGCATAAAGCCGGAAATGCTGACTCGATCTTAAAGACAAACAAAACTGAAGCATGTGGCCGGAACCAAAATGAAAATGATACTAACTACTGAAGAAAAAACAATTTTGCAATGTGATTGTTTGCCCCTTCCAAGATCTGTTTTAAACCCTATTTCAAATGAAACTTGCATTTTCAACCTGCAAACTTAACCAAACTCCCTTCAAAACTGTTGTTAAAAAATACTAGTCAGTGGAATACCACAACAAAGATTCTCTAAAGCCACCTACACAAAGTAATAAGTCAATAAAATGTATATGCAAGTATTCTCTGACTTTGACTTCACAATTACTATAGAACAGAAAGAAAGTTGTTGGTTGAGAAACAAGATAATTTTCTACGACAGACAAAATGAAGACACCAACAAAGTAACACAGTTCTATCATGGAAAGGAATCAAACTACTTCCATACCCTCTTCAGGACCAATCCTGATCGAATTTTTATTTTTAATTTAATAAATTAACAAAATTATAAAATATCTTCTACATGGCTGTAAATCATTTTCTCTTAGACTTTCGCCATTGTGAAGCCCCACTCATTGCTGAAGAGCATGTTTACAGGCACTGAAAACAAGTGCTCAACTTGAAAGTGTTTTTATGAAATTAATTCATTATGTAATTTAAGGGAACACCATCATCTATCTATTAATGGAACCCCACCAATTTCAGCTACAAAAACCTGCTAAGGGCATGCAAGCACAAAAGAATATGAAGAACGCTCCACCATTTTATCCCAAAGATTAAATAAGTCAAGGTCTTAACTAAAGCAGCTGGGCCATTACTACTGCTTTCCTAGCAAACTAATCTGGATGTACTTGAGATTCTTTGCTTTCTGATCTAAAGGTACCAGTGCATCTCAAAGTAAATGTATATGAGGTGCAGTCCCATCCCCCTTCGAAAAAGAAACTAGGAATGCACCGATAACAAGGTCTAAGGCAAGGCATAACAGGGTTCTGCCAAAGTCAGGAAAGCAACAATTGCCAATATGTCACCAGTAAAGAACTTCGCAACAACTTAGAAAGTTCTTAGGGCAAAACCCATTCAATGTAAGAGGGAGTGAAATTCTCCAGCTGGTGAATAGGTAATCCCTAAACATCGAACGGTTACTCACAGATGTCATTATACTGACTTCTAGGTAATATCACACATATTTAAATTAAAATGAACTATATTTACCGAGTCAAAACCCAAACATTTTGAATCCATACATAAAAGGAATGAAGAATCTGCAGTAGAATTTCCAAATAAAAACATTATGTAGCTCGGAACTGCTTATCTTTTAAGCTAAAAGACAGTCTTTTTACCTTTTCCTATTTAAGCGAACAGCAAGAATTGAAGTTAGGAAAGTCATTTCTCGGAGAGGAGCACCGGTTGTAGTATTGAACAAACAAAGACGGCGTGGAGATAACGATGGCTGTAACAGTTCAGTAACAACACCACATTAAGTAATTGATCAACATCTACACTATATATAATAATAATAATAATAATTTTTATTTAATGACCATAAGAAAAATCAGTGCAAACACATTATTAAAGGAAAAGGGGAAAATTTGAGGAGCACCTGTTCACCAGCTCCAACAATGGCGAGAAGACTAGAACTATACAGCATCTCAACAATAATGAAAGCTCCAACAGCTAGCGAAATAAATCAAAATAAAAAGAAAAAGAAAACAATTAAGTCAATTAAAGCTTCGACCAAATACGCTCAGAATGAATAATGCCAAAAATAAAAATAAAAATAAAAATTTTGAGAATTAACTTACCTCGTTCGTAGCAGAGTCTTCCGGTGTTGGAATCGAATATTTTGAAACCATCCTTAGTGCTTATTGCAAAACCACTACAAAATTTAAACCAAAATAATTAAAATATATTAGTAATCCATCAAAAAAAAAAAGCTTCTTTGAAGCTATAAATATTTCCCTTATTGCAAAATTAAATGAAAAAAAAAGGAATTTAAATTTAAATAATTAAATTTGCCTGTTGTCTTGATTGAAGGAAGCGCAGAGAATTGCGTAAGAGGAGGACTGACGGGCCATTATAAAAATTGTTGCTACCCCTTGAAGGAATTCCGACAACCTTTCATCAAAAGAGCATATATTGTTTGTTCTCTCTTTACAAAAAAAATTAAGAAGTTGGCGTTGGAAAGAAGACGTAGAACGAAATCAAAGCGGATGGTGACGGTGGGTCCCAGGTCCCATCATCGTTGAATCCGAACCGCTAATGCCAGATCAGACCATTTCATGATTAGATTATGCCGGCGTGGTTCGATTATGCCACGTCAGTGCGTAAAGTGGGCGCACCATGGTAACTGTCAGGTTTTAACGAGGGCCTAAAGCTGTTTGAGTTCGAACAGTGCCTTGGAGCGGGAAAGAAATTGGACGTGCAGGCTATCGATTTCCCCTTCTCTTTTTTTTTCATTATTATATTTCTTTTATTACCATAATGGATAAATTTGGCACTAACATGTGCTACGAATTATTGGTTTAAACATTGTATAATGAAATGCAAAAAGGTCAGCTGCTGCTGTTATATATTGGGTAAGAATGTATTTTGGGATACTATCAAATGGTTACATTATGCTGTATCTTTTTTATTGAAAATCTAGTTTCTAATTGTATTTATAAATATATAAATACTCCTGAATAATACTTTGAATTAGAAATTTTTGTGAGTCAAATCGCACCAGAATTATTGAGTTGTTTTTTTTAAAAAAACCAAGTTCGACTTCATTCAGTTATTATTTAATTATTAAAATAATATAATATTATTTTTTTAATAAAATAAATTACTCACATCAAATCAAGCTGGGTTTTGAATGCACCTTTGCGGAAGACAAGTTTCAGTCCTATTCTTCAACTTCACCTTCGTCTTGTCATTTTTTATAACGTTTTAAATAGTTTATTCGTTACAAATAATGATATTTTATAATTTAATAATAAAATAATATTTATATAATCATAATATAAATTATATATATTAAATTTAATATTTAAAAAATAAAAAATATCTTGATAAATTAAGTTTTATTAATAAATATATAAATTAATAATTAATTAATTAAATAATATCTCGATTAATTAATTAATTTTCATGATCAAAAGTGTTTATTTATAAAAGTTTTATTATAATTTTTTTAAAAAATAAAATATCTCAATTTTTAAACTTTTAGTCATAACACCACATAAGTGGATTAATTTTTCAAAATAGACAATAAAACCCAAAAATATAAATACTGTTAACAAAAAATATGAAAGAACTAAAATACTCTTTTTTCTTCATCTTTTTTTTTTTCTCTTAAACAATGTTGCCACTCAACGGTACTCTTATTCTCCAACAGACCACTTCACTGCAAGTGTTGCCCTCTCTTAAGGAGAGATTTTTTTTATTTGCAAGAGAAAAAAAATTAAAATAAAAAATATAATTTATATCAAAGTAATTTTTAAAATTAATGAAAGATAAAATTACTATTTTAATATTATCACATTATCAAATAACAAAAATATTAATGATTTACTAATAACTGGATTATTGTATTTAACGAAAAATATTCTTTAAAGTCAGATTGTTTATTTTGAAAATTAATAAACTCTTGTAAAACTATAATTAAAAGTTTGAAAAGTGGGTATTTAACCTTTTTTGTTTTTTTTTAATTGTGAAGAGTAACTCTTTAAATAAGATACGGTTTATTATTCAGTTCGTTAGATTAGCCATAAAAGGGATAGACGGGGAGAGGTCCAATGGCCACTACGGACTGAAGAGCCCTAAACCTACATGGCAAGTCAAATTCCCTACTAATCTGACTAAAAAAACATGGAAAATCTGAGTTTAATTTTGTACAAGCTTATCTGTTCCATATTGTTTTCAGCCTTAGCAACCAGTTAGACTCCCTATTTTGTACACTTTGTTTCATTATTCAAAGGTGATGTTGCTCGCAACAGGGGTTGAGAAAGAACAAAGCCAAGAATTTTTATGAGCAAGAAGGGAAGGAAAAGGCAATCTTCTCCTACTTACTACCAAATAACATGCTAATTTTCCTTCTTATCTCTCTGTAGACAGACTTGTGCCTTTCCTTTTGAGCTTCCCAACAATCTGTACAGTAAAGCTAGATGATAAGTTGATACTTATGGTGGCAACGGAGCTTGTGAGAGTGATTTGTACAGGGTGTCGGTGAAGGGTTTTGAAATCCAAAATCAGAAGATGCCATTCTCGACAACTCGTCTGCAAAAAAAAAAGAGAAAGGGACTAAAGAGACAAAAGAGCCTAACAAGCGCGTGATCCTGCAAAAGCATCTCCAGAAATGACCCCTTTCACAATTACCTTTACCTTTCACTTGCATAGCTCAAAATTACTGCAATCTTCAAATACAATGCCTTTTCTTGTCTTCTTTCTTTTTTTAGTCAAAACTGTCAAAATCATTCTGTGTTTTGAGTCTCTGTCTCACACTTGGTAGCAGAGCATCTGATGCTGCTGTTTCTCTCTTCTCCCATCTCAAACCCTATACAACCCCTATTGTACTCTCCTTGCACGTTTCCCATTTTAACATTTGGCAGAACAGGATTCAAAGGCAAAATGGAACATAAACACTGCAATGGGATATTTACACTACAACCCCACGCAACAAAGACTCAACATCAAAGTCTTTCAACGTTAAGACTACACCTATTTCTTCTTTGAAACTTAGGTAACTTGTAAAAAATTTAATAAAGAATTCATCCTCTATATATTTCACCGCTTTCCTTTTTTATCTTCTATCTTGGACCAGAGAGTTCCATGGCATAGGAATCCAAAGAATGTTCATCATCATCCTCGTCCATTCCATTGCCAAACATGTTGCTTGATTGATCATGACTTTTCTCGTTATGTTTCGATCTAGTGGTAGGGCGCGGCATGCTTTTGTTACTGAAGCTGTTAGGAAAGAGATTCATGGTGGGATTACTGTGATTATGCGATGCTGCCCACTTCTCAGCAAGCCCATCACCTTCGAGCATCCGGACCACTTCGGACATTTTTGGACGGTGGGACGGAAGGTACTGAGTGCATAGCAAAGCCACATGCAGCATCTCCCCCACTTCAATCCTGTCATAGTTGCTCCCTAGCTCTCTGTCCACCAATACTTCCACTTTCTTTTCTTGCTGAATCTTCTTCACCTGTCACAACAAATTGCAAATGTTTCTCCTTCAGCTTTATTCATATATATTTCTTTTTATGCTCCTAGCTGATTCCAATCTATTATTGCGAAAAACAACTCAAAGTCCTAATACATCTTTCCCATAGTGTATAAGAGGAGATACTTTTACACAGGTAAAATTTTATTCACATAAGGTAGTAACTATACTATGTTGATATGATTGCAAGGCAAATAATACCCCTAAGCAAAGTGGAAAATTCTAGAGCTCAAGTGCATGAAACTTGTGACTAGTTAATAAAACAACAGCCGCAGGGGGTCCTAAACCCAAAGATTTTCCACCAGAATTACCCCCCATCGCTCCCTTGCCAGAAGAAAGGAAAAATCTTTTCTCTCCCTCTTTCTTATGGTGCTTGTTCCTTTTATCATTAGGTATCACAAATCAAAGTTGCCAAATGCAGTAGAAATATTCCTTTTGAATCTTGAGACATAGTTGAATCCTTTAAATTGCTTTTCCAACAATTCTGTATTTCTGTGTATCAACGTTGTGCTACAAAATTGTAGCTCAAGATTGCAAAGGCATAGGAATTCTTTAATGCTGGAATACAGTGGAGGTCAAAAGCTAAACATACATCAAAATGAGATGCTATCACCAGGTAGCCCAAACTAATATGAAGGTTAATATACATGCGAAAACAAACTAGCTAACCTGATCAAGATATTTTTATGTGAAAAGGCCTTATGGTCAAATGCATTTAGGACAAAATCCCATGATCAATACCATATTTCTTTCAACATCTAAGGTGCTTACATAGGTTTTGAGTGATCAATCAAAATGACTTAGTGGATATTAATTAAAAGCAAGAGTTTAGCTAATAATAGTTGCTGAGGAAACTAACCCATTCAAGCATTGCTCCTTTCTGACTAACTGTTTTACCAAACTCGAGAGCTCTCATTCCAGTTATGAGCTCTATCAAGAGAATGCCAAATCCAAACACATCAGTTTTCTCCGAAGACTGCCCAGTTGAGAGGTACTCTGGTGCAATGTGCCCAACAGTGCCACGGACAGCAGTGGTGACATGGGAATCAGCATGATCAAGGAGCTTTGCAAGGCCAAAGTCACCAACAATGGCCTCACAGTAGTCATCCAGAAGAATATTAGCTGCCTTCACATCTCTATGGATTATCTTTGGATCACATTGCTCATGTAGATACAGAAGTCCTCTCGCTGCTCCAATAGCTATCCTCTTCCTTGCATTCCAGTCTAGTGACGGTTTTCCTGCCAACCGCAATTCATTTGCATTAGAAGTATGCTATATTACAGTAAAAAATTCACCTCCAAACTTAATAACAATTCTTTTCTTTCTAAAACTTGTTTGGGTCTTTGCGCAAAGCCAGAAGATAATGGCTTTGTCATTCCCAACCTTAGACTTCGGCCTATTCTGCAGGTCAATTTTCGTTTGCACACCATGTTAAAGAAAGCAATTAAACCATAGCAGCTACGAAACTCGGAAAAGCTTATTTGGCAGACAGATGAACTCAATGCAGACAATAAATACTCCCTCCTGGTATTTATAATATCATATACAGCTGAACTTAGAGTAAAATGAAAATATAGTAACAGCTTATTATTTCAATTTATAATTGGAAGAAATTACCAACAGAAAAAAGGGGATTTTAAGAATTAGCCAAAAAATGAAAGCCCTCTAAGATTTAGACTAGTAAATAGAAGAAAAAATGATCAGTCGGAAACCATATTGAAAAGAACACAAAATTAAAAAGCAAGAAAACAAACTACTCCAAGCACAGTCCCAATCCGCATAGGCCGGACCTTAATTTTTGGCGTTTCAACCAATTGTGGTCCACTGCAAGACTAGACACTGGAAGTGAAACAATACAGTGACTGTGCAGTTATTTGACAAAGTAGGAAACTAACTTGTCCAACGTGAAAATTTAATTAAAGAAGTTTAAAAGCTAGCACCAACCTCTGAGCCTGGATGCCACA